TATATTTGAGAGTTTAATGAAATCATATAAAATTAAACTGTATTCAATTAATAGTAATTTAAAAGCTTCAATTATCGAAAGATTTAACCGCACACTAAAAAATATGATGTGGCCACAGTTTAACTTACGAGGAAGTTATAAATGGGAAGACTTTTTACAATCTCTTATTACAAAGTATAATAACAATAAACATCGTACTATTGGAATGAAATCCAAGGATGTCAGCAGAGAAGATGAAAAGAAACTGTTGAAACGCATCTCTAAACAAAGAAAAATTTTACCTAAGTAACCGAAAGTAACCTTCAAATTCAGTAGCAATAGCTTTTATAATAAAATGAGCATCATAACCAATTGTAATACCTGTAAAATTTACAGCATATTCAAATTTCTCATATTTTTCACTCTTCCTGGATTAGAGGAGGTTTTATTTAATACTGAAAAAATCGCCGACTTTAAGCATCCATTAGCTTCTGTTCGGACATTTAAACAAGCATGTTTTCGTTCAATATCAAGTGTCATTTTAATGAAACAACCAACACGCATAGGGTTGTATTTTTTAAATTTCACATCTACTCTGATAATAGAGTCAAGTTGCTAATTAGATTCTTTTTCCTGAAATTCTTCTATAAGTTTGAGAGTTTTTTGCTTAACATTTTTATTATAAAAGTTATCTAACTCTGTTGTAAGGAAAATCTCTCCAGTTTTCGCAATAAATGATTATAAATCAAAAATTATTGTTACATCAGCTAAAGTCTTTTTAAATTCAGCTACTAGGATTGTATAAACTTTTAGACAACCTAATGTATTCAAACAAGCTCTAACTTTATTTTCAAAATTTGAATAGGCATCATCTAAGAATAAATTAATATCTATGTGACTCATATTAATAATTGTTACGCTTTGAATTCTAAGGTTAAATGCCCTATCAGTCACAGTCCATTTAATTCTATCATTCGCTTCAAAACCTGCTCCACGTTTCATTACCGAATCAACATGGCATTCAAAATAATAAATTTGTTTTTGTAAATTTAAAATTCTCTTTTTTAGAAAACGTTAAGAAAATTTGTTTAAAAGAGCATAATGTTTTTACATTTGTTATGCCACTCAAATGAGCTAATGAAACGATCATCACCTGACTTGGATGATATAGATTCTAACTCAATTTTAGCAACATTAATGAAATTTTCTGATACTTCACAAATTTTATTAATGCTATCCTGTGAAACTACTCTTTCATATGGTTTACTATTTCTGCATGTAGACATTTTTACTTATTATTCATGAAGACACGGTAACAAAACAAAAGCTGAAACAGAAAGCAGAAGCTGAAACAGAAAGCAGAAGCTGAAACAGAGAAAAAGATGATGATGATAAATATGGTACAGCCCTCCCTCTTGGATATTTTTGGAACCTCCAACCGAATAATATTGACCCCCTCTCTAGCGCGCTTGAGTAAGTTGAGACAGACAAGTTTAAACTCGCTGAGTCTGCTGTCTGTGAAGTGAAACTTCTGCGGTGTAGGTGGCCCCCTCTCTTGCACGCCTGACTGAACTCAGTGAGACTGCTTTTACTGATGTGTGTAAGTAGCCCCCTCTCTAGTGAGCCTGACTCAACTTGGTGAGACTGCTACTACTGGCGTATGCAAGTAGCCCGCTCTCTGGTATGTCTGACTCAGCTCGGAGGGACAGCTTCTACTACTGACGCATGAAAAGAATCTTCTATAGCACGTTTGTCTCAGCTTAGTAATACAGCTGCTACGTGGAAGTTTGCTTCTACTGTTACAACCACGTGAAACTCTGCTTCTACTGCTATCTCCTACTACCACTGCTACTTATGCTGCTGATGGAGCTGGAGACTGACATCAGACTGACTGTTCTACGCATGGGTGCTGCTATATGTACACGAACCTCCCCACTATATGTTACACTCCCCACTATCACTCTACTGCATCGATGTCATGTGCGGTAGATCTTGAAAGCACTATGAATCACTTAATAGGTAAAATAGAAATTTATGGATAACATCTATGAATGATAATTTACCGACTTATGGTAACTTTATCTGTGAACGGTAACTTACCGACATATGGTAATTTTATCTGGGAATGGTAACTTACAAAATAATAATTTAAATTGAAAAAAATTAGTTAAATTATTTTTGTTGTTGACAATATAATTTTCGTTATTGAATTAGGGAAAATGTAAATTAGAGAAAGTATACAAAAAAACACATAATGTATATTTTAGAAATAAAAAATTTATTAACTAATTTTATTGAAAATATTTTAAATATAAACATTAATTAATTATTACTTTCATCATTTTTTCAAAAAAATTAATTTTAGTTAAATTTCTAAAAAAAAGTTTTCAATTTTTCTCTTTTTCTTACAAATATTAATATCATCATCATCATTTTTAGAGGAGGGGGGGTTGGTTTCAGAGGATACCAACGTTTTGTTGGCTTCGTCGGCCTTCTAATAATTTCATATAATTTATAGTGTTGAGGAGGGGGTGTAATCTCTTCGTGGATGAGAAGGGGAGGTATATTAAGATAAATGCCTGGAGTTGGAGGACGATCATGGTATGCTGGATGGTGATGATGATTCGCATGTTTCATTATCATCTGAAGATGATTCAGATGATGATGTTGATGGCGATATCGATTTCATCCCCCATCTTTCTTTTTCTAATAATTCAGAAATTATTATTGGTATTAACCAATGTATGAAATACATACCATTTTTTTTCTTGAAAATTTATGTGAAATATGAAATTTTTTGAATAAACAAATCACTTTTTTACTTTAACTTTAATGAAATTTTTTAAATAAAATTATCAATTTTGAAACAAAAATGGAAAGAAAATTTTGTTTTTCACTGGACTGACTTGAAAGAAAAAAGATGTTTTCACTAAAAGAAGACTTTTCACAATGAGAGTTTTCACATGACTGATGAGTTTTCTCTTTTATGGTACATATTCAAATTTCTATTATTAATTTCAGAAATTTCTGACAAGGATGAGTCATTCCATGTCAAGTGAACCCAACCCACGGATAGTACAATAGTTGGATACATTTGATATGGAATGACCCATATGAATATAGCTGCAAGTCCCCCCCCCCTTCCCCCCTCCCACGCAAAAAATGACATAAATTTTAAGGTTATGTTCGATTCAAGACTCTGAATAGGGCCGCAAGTCCTGCCCCCCTCCCTTACCCTCTCTCCGTATTTCCCACCAAAAATGACATAAATTTTAAGGTTATGTTCATTTTAAGACTTTCAATATAGCCGCAAGTCCCCCGTCTCCCACCAAAATTGACCTAAATTCTGAGGTTATGTTTCTTTCAAAACTCTGAATAGAGCAGCAAGTCGTTCCTCCTTCCCTCATCTCTCTCCGTATTTCCAGCCAAAAATGACATAAATTATGAGGTTATGTTCATTTCAAGACTTTCAATATAGCCACAAGTGGAGGTAGATTTCCTGCCAAAAATGACCTGAATTTAAAGTTTATGTTCGTTTCAAGACTATGAATATAGTCGCAAACCCCCCCTCCTTCCTTACGTTGAAGGAGAGGTGGATTTTCCGCCGAAATTCAACTAAATTTTAAGGTTAAGTTATTTTGTCGGGAAACGACGAAGAAATAAACATAACCTCAAAATTTAGGTCAAACTTTGAAGGAAAATGACTAAAAAACGAACATAACCTTAAATGTAAAAATAAAAAAAATCGTAAATAACATTTAAAGAAATAAATAATAAAATATTAATAATAGTTTTAAATTCCAGAAATTGTCTAAACATTAACTCAAACATCTACAAAACTAATAAAAAATAGGGGGTTGGCGCGCGAAGCTCGCAGGGGGGCTAGTACATATATATATATATATATATATATAGTAAATAGGGACTTACCATGAAAAATAAATTCGGTATGCTAATTAGACAGTGGTGGGAGGTCAAGAGGGTGGAAAGTGGGTGGGAATATTCAAAAATTCCAACGAGCAACAGCGCCATTTTGCGGCCGCGGTCGGTAACACCGATCTATGGTAAGTTACCGTTGGTCGGTAAGGTAGGTCGCGAAAAGGAGTGAGTTAGAACCTGTATAGCTCCACTACTATAGCGAAATATTCCATGTAGCAGCACAGTAACTTGAGTATAGAATTTGCCTTTTTTATATAGAACCTTTTGGTGCTATATGGAATTATAAGAAGGTCTTATATGGGCAACTTTTATGGTTGGTTTAGGTATGAAATACCATTTAAAATGACACAGTTAAAAATGCAGGGTGATTATTTTATTGTATTAAAACTAATATTATAAAGGAAATGCAAATTTTTTTTTAAAAAAGTAAATATTTATTGGTTTAGGTATATTTGACAGTAGAAATGAGCGTACAATGAGTAACTGTATTTTCTCTTTCGAACTGTAAGACGCACTTCTTTATCGACAGTGGATATAAAATTTAACGTGCGAAAATGTGATTTGTGTAGTCAGTGTGTAAAAGAGTGTGTTTGTTTAACAGTAAATGAAATTAAATTTTTATAAATTTAAGCAGTAAATGTAAGTAATGTATACAGAGACTACAAAAATCATATTTACGCGGGTTAAATTTTATATCGACTGTCGATAAAGAAAAGCGACTTACTGTCCGAAAAGGAAAATACAGTTACTCATTGTACGCTCATTTCTACTGTCAAATATACCTAAACCAATAAATATTTACTTTTTTAAAAAAAATTTGCATTTCCTTTATAATATTAGTTTTAATACAATAAAATAATCACCCTGCATTTTTAACTGTGTCATTTTAAATGGTATTTCTTACCTAAACCAACCATAAAAGTTGCCCATATAGACCTTCTTATAATTCCATATAGCACCAAAAGGTTCTATATAAAAAAGGCAAATTGCATATTAAAGCTCCTGCGCGGCTATATGAATACCGTATCGTCTATCCAACTTTTTTCAATGAGTAGATAAAATATTTAATGCTTTTTAAGTACCTGTTGCATTGTCGACAAAGTTGCTAATTACGTGTCCAGCTACAGATAGAGGATGCAGAATAAAATTAGTGCACATATGAGATAATGCCATTACAGGTGTCACTTGCACGAAAGGATCCACTATCATTGCTTCAACATATTTTTCACATTGTTCTGTACTTCCTTCTACAAAATTTAAAAAATATTATTTAAAGCAATTCTACATCGACGTTCCTCGAAGCACTATAAATTAATAACAGTAAGTGATAGAAACCTATAACATGACGTCAATGAAATCTTGAACTTTATAATTTAATATTATATATTCCATGAAAGGCTTATTTATATTAAGGTAGTATTACACTTTATGCTTTCGTGTTCTAAACCTGGTGCCCTTCCAGGAGGAGACGGTTAGCATTGTCTCCCTACGCCCGTGCAAGAAATACCAATGTATCAGATCAAAATTCGAAAAAATAAAAAAGTTACACAATTAAATGAAGCGCAGTGTATTTGAAGGGCAGAATTACAAAAGGGGTCAAGCGCCAACCCTGCATAAAATGACATATTTAAAAGTATTGAATTGCATTCACGATCGAGTGAATACTGTTTAATACATTTATCGCATTCACTTGAATGTGATTGAATCCAACTTAATACACGAAAAATTTTTAAAGGAGATGAATACTTTCTAATTCAAGACTTTATACATTATTGTGTGAAGCAAAAAATTTGTTGCCTCGTGAAGGAAGCTATGAATTTCTCTAATTCAATTAATTGATTTAAAACATTTCGACTTAATAACTGATTTAAATTCATTAAATTTTTTTAAAAATTAAGAAAATTGTAATTTATTTTGGGTGTAACATGTACTTTATATATACGAATCGATTCGTTTCAATGCAAGGAATTCAAATATTTTATGTATTAACTTGAATTTAAAAAAACACAAAATTTTGTAGCTAAAATATGGTTTTTGATTTTTTATTAATTCTTTAAATTTCAATCAAATCTATACTTTATATATACTAATCGATTTGTCTTGACGTAAAGAAGACGATTATATTATAGATTACCTTAAATTTTACTATTTAAACATTTTTTCAATTAAAAAAAAATTTTGGAAAAAAGACCATAAAATTTTTTTTTGGGGGTATTTTTAAAAATCATCTCTTCATTTTTGAGAGATTATTGTGATAAATAAGCCTACCAAATTTAAAAGTATTTTTATTAACAGAATTTCCAACTAAAAGAATTTCTATATAACAAAATTTTTATTTAACAAAAGTGTTATTCAAAAAATTTCTATACATATCTAATTTTTATTTTATAGAATTGTCATTTAACATAAATTCTTCTTAGCTTAATTTTTAAGACAGAGAATTTCTATTTCACCGAAACTTTAATTGACCGAAGTTTCACTTATCCGAATTTTCATGAGATAGAAATGTTAAAACGTCGAATTTCCATTTGATCGAACTTTCATATATCAGATTATCCACTTGGTTACAAATTTCAGCGGGAGTTTTAAAATCAACAAATAAAAATTATTAAGAAGATTGTGATTAGTTGATTTTAAAACTTCCGCTGAAATTTGTAACCAAGTGGATAATCTGATATATGAAAGTTCGATCAAATGGAAATTCGACGTTTTAACATTTCCATCTAATGATAATTCGGATAAGTGAAACTTCGGTCAAATAAAGTATCAGTGAAATAGAATTCTCTGTCTTAAAAATTTAGCTAAGAAGAATTTATATTACATGACAATTCTATAAAATAAAAATTAGATTGTATAGAAATTTTTTGAATAACATTTTTGTTAAATAAAAATTTTGTTATATAGAAATACTTTTAGTTGGAAATTCTGTTAATAAAAATACTTTTAAGTGAACAAGTTAGTCACAAGTGTCATCAAAGGAGTCTACCAAGATTCTTATAGAAAATGGCCCATCAAGGATAAACGCTATCTTTTGGTGGCTAAAAGTAGACCTCGAACTAAGTAATATACATCTCATTTGAGTTTTCTAGTATGATGGGAACATGAATAAAATTGTGTCCCAATGTTCCCTAAGCATATGGACTAACGACCTTTTTTAGTAACACTGGTAGAAAATAAGTTCCAATCTTAAAACCATTTATGTTTGTAGGCAAAGCGTGTAATTTAATCAATTTGAAAATAAAATACAATTAATAAATTATGCAAATTAGAAAATGAGAGTAAAATTATTTAAAATAACGAGTAAGATTTATATAAGATGATAAAATAAAGATTGTACGATAATCATCAATATCAATCAAAAACAAAAAAAATCACAATAAGAAAATATAATATAAACCACCTATCTTATAATTTCCGCAAATTTCTCCCCCCAAACGTCAGTCCACGATTCACCGAAATTCACATCGGTTTCGTCGAAATTTTACGAAGATAAATATGCATAAGAAAATATCAACCGTCAGGCGCTAATTCATTCTCATATCGAGGATTTCCTCACAAGCGTCTCGTTAGCTTTCAAAAGGCATAGAAAAATCCAGCAGAAAACGTTTAGTTGCGTCGCTAATAGGAAATGAAACATGGGCATTGTACTTCTAAAGACACATTTGTGGATACTTTTAAGTGACTTAAGCAGAAGATAAGTTCTGATATTAAAACCAATTATGGCTGTAGACAGAGTATCTCGTGAACTTTCAAGGAGTGTAGAACATTCGTCGGGAAACGTTTAGTTGTGTCACTAATAGGAAATGAAACATGGGCATCATGCTTCTATAGACACATATGAGGATATACTTTTAAGTAACTTAATCAGAAGATAAGTTCTGATGTTGAAATCATTTATAGCTGTAAACAGATCATCTCGTACGCTTTGCTAGAGATTGCTTAACATGATCAATCATAGAATTTTTACTGACTAACAAGGAACACTAGGTAGGTGTCCCCCTCCGATTTCGTTCATCTTGATATATGTTGTACTACTCGAAAAACTAATTAACACGTATATTTTTTTATCGGCAATGGTGAACATTTAAGGGGTGAAAACAATATAAAGTGAAAATATAAAGCGAGGAATTTTGTTATTTTTTGTTTATTGAATTTTTATTTATATGGTGAAAATTCTATATTTCGGTAAGAACTTTAGGGGTGGTTTTCACCCCTCAAATGTTCACCATTGCCGATAAAAAATATAAGTGTTAATTAGTTTTTCGAGTATTACAACATATATCAAGATGAATGAAATCGGAGGGGGACACCTACCTAGTGTTCCTTGTTAAAAACCTTGCTATTCGTAATCCCACTCCAGGACAACATCAGGCGCGGCGTTTCATTCCGGGCCATAGCAAAATTTCTGCACAGGTATCTTTTTAATTTTTTCTTTATAAGGAACATTTTTTCAAAAATTTTCATAACCTCCACTGGTCGAACGCGTCTCGACCCTCCCAGCATGGTTGAGAGCTATGATAGTCAAAGGTTCGTGTCTCAGATTCGTAGTTCGTATTCGTAGTATTCTTAGTTGCTGGGCTAATACAAATAAATACTTTTTAATGCGAACGGCGCCATTTCTGTATTAAATCGCATTAAATTCTGTTCATTTTTATGCAAACGAGTAGTTTTTAATAGCTTGTCAACGCATCAAATAACGGGATTAAAATGCATTCAAACTGTTAATACATTGCAATACTTTTGAATACGACATTTTCTGCAGGGAATTTATTGTTTTTACAGGAAGTGAAAAAAACATATTTAAAAATATTCAAGATTAAAAGAAAAACAACTAAAATAGCGAACAATTTTATAAATATTTGTAAAATGTAAACTTTATATACATACATCAATCGATACGTTTTCATGCCAGGAATACAATTTTGATAAGAATTAATTAAAATTTCTATATAAGAAACAGCAAAGCTTCCTCATGAGGAAGCAAAATAGTTAAATACAAGCGGCTAAGTCCACGTCAGAAATATCAGGATTTGCAAGTGGTTCTTCGATTTTAATGATACTTGGTAAAATTGTAGCTTCATATAAGAGCAATGTGTAAATAAAAGGAATATTTAAAATATCTAACATTGTAGGAGTTATATTGTTACGCCAATATTTTTTTGGCAACAGAAATAAAATTAAAACAATTAATTATTAAAATTATCAATTAAATAAGTCAGAATTATTTTATTTTAAAATTATTTTTCTTTATTCTTAGACTTGCTTCAAGTTAAATTGTAGCAACTCTAATATCATATTACCGTCAGGAATTTCGGGACGTCAGCGAAACAATATAAAGAAATAACGCGACTTTATTAGGCAACTCGCATCTTGGAAAAATAATCATTTTATTCCTTTTTAAAAAATTATTTTATATGAAGCAAGCTCTTGCAGCCAACACGAATTTTAAGAATATATCAATTAATGAAGGGTTATAATTTTATAATCTTCATTGATTGATTATTTTTTTATTTTAAATAAAAATTTCTTGTAACTTCGTCAATAACGTCGTTGCAAGACCCGCGTCTCTATAGTAGTACATTAGTGACCTTGCAGCGACGTTGCAGGCGAAACTCCTGAATAACTAGTGAGCCGCAATTTTGCGAAGGTTGCAGAAAAAAGGTTCATGACTCTGACATCCTTAAGAAGCAAATGGACCTTGTCGCAATGTTACCGACATGTAACTTCCGTAGTTAGAGAACCGCAATTTTGCGAATGTTGCGGCTTCGATAATAAACATTGTGACAACCACCTAAAGCTAATAAATTGTGCTAAAATCTTATTGAATGGTAAACAGCCGAGATATCGTCCGAAAATCTTTCAGCAACATTGCGAGTCGCTATTGAATAGATACATACATTTAATAATCAGGTGATACGCAACAGACGCGAATTTCGTTTCAAAATCATTAATTAATTATTCATGATAATGTATTGCTATATTATCCTAAATATATCACAAAGTATTTATATTATTATTGCAAAGGAATTGTTAAATTTTAAATTATTAAAAATTAAATTTTAAAATCTTCTATTATATTAAGTTAACAAATTTCCAAAAGCGACACCGTCCTTGGAAAATCTATCTTTACTTATTTCCAAAAAAATCAAAATACTTTGCCATATGCTTTTAGAAAATCTTACATACTTTTTTTTGTAACATGTTTTTTCAATTTTAACCCAAAAAAGGGTTTCTTTGCAATTTTATG